AAAGGCTCGCTGGCCAAGGACGTGGAGAAAAACTTCTCCAAGCTGGGCACCACGGTGGTGCTGTCCATGTTCACGCTGCTGTACGCCTGCATCAACGTCTTCTGCTGGTCGGCGGTGCAGCTGGACCTCGCTCACCGAGAGCTCATCGAGAGGAAACAGCGCTGGGACCGCCTGGCCATGTTCTACTGCGGGCGCTTTGTGGAGAACTTTGTCCTCATCACGCTATGGTATTTCTACAAATCAGACTTCTACGAGTACGTGTGCGCGCCGCTGCTGGCCGCCCAGCTGCTGATCTGCTACAGCCTGGCCGTGCTCTTCATGCTGCTCTTCTACCAGTTCTGCCACCCGTGCAAAAGCCTCTTCAAGTACAACGTGCACGACTGCCTGCACTGCGTCTGCTTCCGTACAGGGAGTAGGGGGGGGAGGGGTCGGAGAGGGAAGCTGCCGCCCTCGTACTCGACGGCTGCCACCATGGTGCTGGTGCCGGAGGAGCCCCTGCATCTGCTGGACCCCGAAAACTCCCAACCCCTCGACCTGACCAATCAGCTGGGAGAGCAAGAGACGGCTATCCTTAATGACATGATGCAGGCAGCCTGAGGAGGGCTTAGTGGGGAAATAAATGAACAAGTTATTTAATGAGGATGCACCTCAGCTGCACAAGTCCTCGAGTACTTTTAACACAAAAAACAGACGATACAGCAACTTTACTAGTTTGTGATTGTGAGGTGGATTAAGGTTAACTGCTGTTGTCTTTATCAAGGGTGATTACTTACACTTGGGGCACAGCGAGGCCTCATTGCACCAAAGAATGTAGCACGTCCAGATATGCAGCGATGCACAAAGGCCGCCTTGAGAGAGCAGCAGTGTACAGGAGTGAGCCAGGTGTGTGGGAAACGTGCCAAGAGTGTCAGAAAGAAAGACCGGGACACCCCAGTGTTACTCCATCAAGGTTTTCACTTCTTTGCACACATTTGCATCTGCACTAAAAATACTTTTACAAAAAAAAGAAAAAGGTCAGAAGAAGAATGTATCTTCCTCCTACCTTACTACATAAACCCGCTTTGTTGAATGCCGTTAGGTGTTTACTATTAGAAAAACTTATTTTAGCTTTACAAAGATTCATCAAAATATGTCACAAAACAATATACAGTTGAAAAACACCTAAAAAACTTAATGGAATATAAAATGCCTATTTTTTTAAAAGTCAACCTTGAAGTTGAATTTACCCGACTTACACTGAATTAACTACTTTATCAAAGTGCTTTCACAGTGTGCTTCTTTTTTATGCTATGTCTTGTTTGTTCGGTGCCTTGACTACTATTGTTTTACTTGAAACTCAAAATAAAAGAATCTGACACATTCATTCTTGCTCTTGACTTCTTTCATGACTTATGACTAATTGTCACCGACACAATAAAAGCTCATTGTTTCCGATAAAGCGTATTGCCTCAGCGTCGAGCAGGGAAACATTTCCTCCTTGCTAGTGATGGGTATCTTTAGGATTTTATCGATACCGATACGATACTGATTATCGATACCGGTATTTTTCGATACTGTTCAATAATTTTGTGCTCAAAATTATAGACATGCTTACAAGATGTGAAGATTAAACAAGTCATTTTATTGTAATTTATTTGTATTTATTATTTAATGTAACTTTTTCAATGTCATACCAAGCAGGGGGGGTGCTGGTGAATTAATTTGTTTGTAAAGTTTGAGAAACAGAGCCTCGTTGCGGGGAAATTATACAGATTGCTAGTCCGCCCCTGAAAATGTCTATGCAAACGTTATTATTAATAATAATAAAAAATAATAATAATTATATATAAAGTATAAAAACGGCTCGCTGGTATCTCGAGCTGAGCTCAAAATGACTAACCATCATGCAACGCACGAGCAAGACGTTGATCGAAATTGCGCAGGTCTCGCTTGTCTCAAACAAGCCTACTTTGTCCGACTTGCTCTGGAGGCTCGCCTACATGAGACGTTGAAATCTCGCGGGACAAAGACGCCCGCAGCCTTGAGAGCGAGGCGCGGCGAGGCGGCGCAGTTCCTCTCCACGGGCTGCGAAAGCGAAATGCTTGATGGGAAACTACTCGCTGGTATCTCGAGCTGAGCGCTCATTGGTGGTTTTTACCACGTGCTGGTAATGAAACTCTCCAATTGGCTCGGCAAAAGTTTGTTGTTGTTTTGTGTCAGTTTTACGTCGCCCCTCCCATTAACATTTTTCATCATTGTTCCACAATGTTTATCATCATGAAATTAATATCCATATATTTTATACTATACTTGCACTGCTTACCGTTGTCATAGTTTATATATCTTAGCATATTCATACACACTGTTCATACTGCTCACAGGCTGCTGTGTATATTCATACCCCTCACTGTTAATTCATCATTCAATTCATTCTATATTTTATTCTGTAGATTGTGTACATTACTTTTCATTTTACTGCTTTTCGCACTCCTGGTTAGAAGCTAAACTGCATTTCGTTGTCTCAGTACCTGTAATATGTGCAATAACAATAAAGTTGAATCTAATCTTGAGCAGGAACAAATGTATTTACTGAGTACATATCTGACATTAACGATTAATCACATGTGTGCATTCTTTATAAATGCAAACCGAGTCAAGCCGACTCCGGAGGCGGCGGTATGCACCTTAAAGTTGTTTGCAATCCACCAAAAAACCGAGAGAAGAAGAAGAAGAACAAGAAGAACAAGAAGAAGCCGACTCCGAGCTATCCGACTTCAGGCGAGCTTTTTGAGACCTCCCCCGGCTGCGATGAGCTATTCTCGTCTACTTTCGAGGCGAGCCACAACGCGTCTCAAACAAGCCTAATCTCTCCGGTAGTCCACCAGCAGATGACAAACACCCCANTGTGTGTGTGTGTTTGTGTGTGTGTGTGTTTGTGTGTGTGTGCGTTTGTGCACACACACACACACACACACACACACACACACACACACACACACACACACACAAACGCACACACACACAAACACACACACACACAAACACACACACACAGTATAGGCATTCCACACATGTCCTCAGTTTTTTTTCCAGTAATTGCTGCTTTCTCTTTTTTTCCTTTAAATGCCCTAAAGGAGTCACAATTTCTGTCTAAGCTTTTGAAACTAATTACAAACAATACTTTTTAGGCTTAAAGATACTATTTAAGCCCCTGAGTTTTTTAGTGGGTAGAACCTGACTGTGAGGCTTTTATTAGTTCCCCCCAAACCGACCATCTTTAATTTCTGTACGTCAAGGGAGTACTTTTATCTAACATTCGGTCGGGTTACCTCCCATGCCCGCAGCTTTATCCTGCAGCACTCGTTCTCTCAGCCTCTCTTCACCACTAAGGACAGAGGGTGTCGTATTGTCATACTGATATTCTGTACAAACTGTGAAGTCCACTGAGACCAATGTAACATTTGTGATATTGGGCTATATAAATAAACATTGATTGATTGATTGAAAGTCAATGAATAATCGCAATTACAATTGTTGACCCAAATAATCGAGATTATGATTTTTGCCATAATCGAGCAGCCCTACTGGAAACTCGCGGATAATTTGCTATGCTAGCAGATATGTATGGCAATAGGTCTGGTGATAAGTCGGTCTATTGGAGTATCATAACATTTAGCAACTTTTAAATGGTAGACAATGAAATGTGCTGACAATGGTGATCCCCTGACTTCTCCCTTCAGCACCATTACCGGGTCAAATGTATCATTCGTGCAATACTTTTATTTAGGTTCATGAGCAAATACCAAATAAATGTAGGACATTTTGAACAGGAGATATACATTTAAATAAAGGTCTGTTAAGTCATCATCTATCGTGACAAGAGATAACACAAGCTCAATTCCACAGAAATCCTAAATCAACCAGGAATAAAATATTAAGGATTGCTACTTTAACTAAGATGGTAAACACGATTTCTGCTACATTACCATGTTAGCATTGTCAGTGTGAGCATGTTGATGTCAGCTCAAAGCTTTGACTGTGCCTTAATAGATTAAGCATGACTCTTTGCCCTGTTTTTATCAAATCAAGGCGGCAAAACCAGAGATATGGTCCATTTCATTTCACACATTTGTATTCCTTGTCAAAAACCGGGTAACTACATTATCAACACTCCAACTAAGCTAATTTAGCCTCAATGGGGAGCGTGCTACAAGCTAATGTCCACACCCCCAAGATTTGTTGTGTTTTTCTAACATCTAGTCCTAGTCAGATAACAGTCAGTCTGTCAAAATGTATGTTCTAAAATTAAGTCAGACATCGTCCTTAAAGTTCAGACATTCTTCAATTAATTCCCCAGCTCTATAGCTCTGATCAGTTCCTCATAGCCAAAATATGTCGTAACTATTACAACAACAGGCAACAACACAAACCAAGTGTTGACTCACTCAAGATTGAAATAGTCTGTAGCGCTGCAGGTGGTCTATCCTTCTCCTGCAATGACATGATTGGCTTCATCTCCAGTGTGTTCATAATTATAGACCTGTGCCTGACCTTGGTCATGTTATTTGTGAGAACTGCAAATCTGCTATGAGCATTGTTAAAATAAAAAGGTCTGTTCTCTTGGAAGATACTCTGTGTTACATTGTCCTGATTTGTGAAGCACTATTAGCTCAAATGGCATTTATCACCACTGGGAAAAATACTATCTATTTTGATACGCGGCTACACTAAACACGTCGCTCAGCATTGTAGATAAGATCATTTCCTGTCTTCTGAACGGCATTGCAAAGGGTTGTTGTTCTTTCAACAGATCTATGTCCTTGATCTTTATTTACATCTTTTTATCCAGATCTTTTTATCTATATCTGTAAACTGTCTGGCTAGTTATATTTTAGGGTGCACAGAAACCTGAGCCAAATCAAGCTATTTATAAGCCTTTTAGCAACACTTTCTCTAGCAAAGTGTTCTTCCTGTTACACATACATTTGTTCGGTTGATTTTCTTGCCCTGTAAAATATAGAACGCCCTACATTTAACGATTATTGTACTTTATATTCAGACCAACACCTTAACAGCTCACTGTAGACATATCAAAGTCCAGAGGGGAAGAAAGAGAGTATGAATATGTGTATATTTGAATTTCAAAGAGCTTAAGTCACCGCCTACATGAGTCACGGTTCGCCAAACAGGTCTCTCAGCTGAAAACAACTGACACAGGAGTGCAGACTGAAACACCTCCCTCACAGAAAGAGAACGTTTAAGACAATACATATTCAAAGAGTAACTCGAGCTCTATTATTTCAAGAGGCAACATCAGTCCCTCTCTCTCTGTTAGCCAGCCAGGCCTGATCTCTGGTCTGCAGCACCGAAGGCTTCTGGGGGACGTTATCCTGAGATGAGGTCATACAACCGAGCGACGTAAATGAATGTGAGTGATGTTTTACTAGGGCGGGTGCCAGCTCTGCAGAGTCATATGACAAACTGGCTTTCAGATTAAAAGAAGCTCTAAGGTTGTGGGAGGTTGTCCTGTTCAGTCGTCCCTCCTGTGTTTCATACTGAAGAGGCTGGCATCTGGAGTGTGATTCAGTTAGAGAGCTTAATCTGTGGATCTCATTCAGTACTAAATCCATGATACTGCAACAGTCTATCTACAATGTAATGTGGATGATCCATTGTATTTGATGAACTGACCAACTGATTTAATAAGTCAGTCAGGGCTGCAACCGATAATTCAATTTATAATCGATTAACTTTGTAGTCTATGAAATATTCCCGTCATAACACAGAGGCGATGTGGACATCTTTAAATGGCTTGTTTTGTTCAACCAATTGTTTAGAACCCAAAAACATTGTTGACAATAATATATGACAAAGAAAAGTATTAAAGTCAATTTAGAGGCATGAATTTGAGACTACTTTGCTGTTACTGGTATACCTTGAATAATGACAAACTATTAATTCATTTTGAAGAAAGTTTCAGATAATTTTTCTGTCACTGTAGTAATAGATCAATCATTTCAGTTCTAGTCAGCATCCTTTATTTATGAGGACAACTCTGATTCATAGTGATACATTATTGCAGCATCATGTCAGCTCTCAAAGATCATTAGAGTGCTTTTGTGCATATCTGTATATCTGTAAACACTACAAAGTCACAGCACTAATACAAAGTATCATGATTTGTAGTGACTTTGACCCCTAACACCCCATGACCCTCACCTACCCAGTGGTGTGAAGAATCGATGTATATTTACTCTAGCACTGTACTTGAGTACAATTTTGAGATACTTGTACTTTACTTAAGTATTTCAATGTTTTGCTACTGCAACTTCTACCCCACTACAATTCAGAGGTAAATATTGTACTTTTATTTATTGTATACCTTTTACTTTCCAGATTTGGATTTTATTGATATGAAATATAATCAACATCTAAATAACACTTGGAGTAAATCCACCAGCATACAAAGGGATTTAATTTAGCTCCACCTTTACCAGCTGTGGTAAACACATTAATGCATCAATAATTAGAATTAAAAACACATGATATATATTCTTACAAAATAGGCCAATCTGCATAATGAGTACTTTTACTTTCGGTACTTAAAGTATATTCTGATGCTAATATTTCTGTACTTTAACTTGAGTAACTTTTTGAATGCAGGACTTTTACTTGCAACAGTAGTCCTACACTGTGGTATTTCTACTTTGTACAAGATCTGAGTACTTCTTCTGATGATATCAAGGTATTGTTTTCTTACATTCAACAATATATAAACATGTCAACATACCAACAACATCCCATCACCCCTCCCTACCTGATGACAGGGCCGAGCAGCAGCAGGTGCAGGAACAGCACGAGCGGCCTGTCCCGGCCCAGGTCTCTGTGGATGAACGTCAGGGCCAGCTGGATGAGCACGGCGGGCAGCAGCATGAAGGTGAGGGTGAAGCCCATCCAGATCACGTCCTCGGTCTTGTGGTACCGGCTGCAGAGCACGGCAGCCGTGATGAACTCCGCACAGTACAGCACGGTGGCCAGCAGCACGCTGAAGGGGGGCTTGATCCGGCTGTGATTGACCACCAGCATGACTTCACTGTGCGCCGCCGTGGAGCTCTCCATGTCTGAGATCTCCCTCTCATGCTCCTCCGTGGCCGCTTCGCACATTATGTTATCCACTTTGATCAGTATACGGTTCACGATTAAGACGCTAAACTATGCTAAAAAACATCACTATTTGTAAATAATTCCCTTGATGCGCCGTCTCTCCCAACTTTCCACAAAGTTGAGCATCGCTGGGTTCACATTGTGTGTTACTCAACAACTGCTGTGCCACCGCTCCGATGCACTCCCACCAAAAGCGTTTGTTTAATGGTATCGTTTTATCGTCGGACGTGGACGTTAGATCCAGAGGAAACCACTTTACTGCCCGTCGGGATTTCAGCGCTGTTGTTGCACCGTGTGTGCAGAATAGGGAAAGTTCAGTTCAGCCTCGTCATCCAGGACGATATCTACTAAATGTCAGCCAGCCGGTTACCGTCCAAACTCGGTGGACATCAGTAGCTTAAAGTTTGTTATTGTATGTTAAAAACACCTCCAGCTGTAGTGTGAATGCCGGGCTGTAGGAGGGCCGTGTGTCTCCGTGTCGGTGTATTTGTGCGGCTGCTGGCTGCTACTCGTGTTTCCAATCTTTTGACTGTCTGTCAATGCAACAACTGCACCAAGTCAGCCAGAAACTCAGGGGGCGATACCGGAAATTACGGGCGGCTGCCTTCAAAATAAAAGAGGGTACAGATAATAACACAACTCATCAAAAATACAAATCTGTGCCAAGGAAAACAAATCCATTATTAAGAGGCTGGCACAAATAGTTTGGTAACTATGGGGAAACAGCTTCATTTTTTGTGATATGATCTCGCTAACTGCTTTAGAAAGGTGTTTAGAACCACATTCCGTACATGTATTCAAGATGTCTTCTCTTTTTCCCCCTCAAACTCAATTACAATGTTTTATTAAAATAATTGTACTCTGATATATATTCAATGATTCTGGTATAATATTTCTTTAAAAAAATATATGATTTGTATTGAGAGTTTTATTTATTGTTAATTGTCAATTTCATAACCCTGGGTGTTCTGCTTGAATCACACCATAAGTAAGAAAAATGGGAGGTGAAAAGCTCACATGATAATGAAAAAAGTACAGGATGTCTGTTACAATCTTACATATTACAAGCAATGAACAAGCTGTTAAATACATAATAGTAAATGCAGCCTATAAAAGTATAGATTACAGGGCAACAAAGCTGCCTACAAAGATAAGAACGATTTCATTCAAATTGAGGGAAACACTACAACTTATTTGCCATTTCACTTTCTCTAGAGTACCTTTGCCAAGCTAAATGCCACCGATACTGTAAGCACATGCAGTGTAGTTTTATTACAGTACTTGTCCTTTTCAAAAGGAAGCGCTGTGAAGGGCGAGTAATGAGAGATCAGATTCTCTGCGCTTCCATTTTTAGTTTCCAAAAGTAGTGAGGACTTGGCCTTGTTATGGTGACGTGCAAGCCTGTGAGGGGAAGCAGCTACACAAACAGGTGCAGAACACACACACACACACACACACACACACACACACACACACACACACACACACACACACACACACACACACACACACACACACACACACACACACTGAATCAACAATTAACAAATCATTCCATCTTTTCATTCGCTTTTCACACAGACATTTCCTCATATTACAATCAGATAAGACCACATGCTCATTAGACAACAATAACATTTTGTGACCCTGAACATAATCAGTTTCATGTTTGTTCTACTACTTATTCAAACAAGGATTATTTGTTTGGAAAGTGCATGAGAAGGACACCAAATGTAGTTAAACCCCCACATTCCCATTGCAAAAATATCACGTGTTGCTTAGCTTGATGTCATCATGACCTAAAGTAAACCCTTATTGTGTTATTTTTTTACTGAATAATCACTCTTACATCCTGTTTGGTAGATGATATGTTGCTGTCCCTTCATTGTAACTATGAAACAACAAAAGTAGCTTTTATTTTGTTTTCATTATGAGCTGTGGTACAGTTTCAACACAGCTCACTCCATACATGCTGACCTCTCCCTGTCTAACCAGATTTCATCTAAGTCAGTGGTCGACACAACCTACGAAGGCATTACTAATGCATGTGTTTGGTGAAGCAGTGCTTTGGGTCAGTGACTTCAGACTGCTGAGGCTGTGTGCTTTGGAGACATTACTGAGCACCAGCATGTGCACAGCCAGCCAATCAGGTCAGGTCAGCTTGTCTATGTTTCAAATTCTTTACAGGAATCTTCAGCTGCAGTCAAATAGTATTTTCGCATAGGAAGATTCCTAAAAGAGTGAAATGACCTGAAAAGCCATGGTAAGTTACAGCTGGTTGAAATCTCTAGATGATAAGAAAAAAGTGCTACAGTTTGTTATCTAATTTAGTATAGGGTGCACCAGACAATCCTTTACAAAAACAAAGGAGATAAATGCTTTCCTACAATTCCTTATGGCCTCAACAAGTATAGTTCAACATTAGGAAATATAACTGTATTTTCATGTCGAAAGTTAGATGACAATATACAGTACAACCCTGTGTGTCAAAATGTAGCAAAATGCACCTGCCAGCCCCTGTAAAGAACACTATAGAACAGGTTGTATCTTGTATGTTTAATCTGTACAAAAGTGTAAGTATAACTATTTAAAATATGATTCTCAATTTCACAGGGGTAATGAACCAGGCTTCTACATCAGCTGCCTGGTTGTCGAGTACATAAACATCTGTAAAACCACAACATGCTTTTCACACAATATTTTGTACAAATTACATTAATCAAGTATGACATGTTAATGACTGATCTAGTGGTGTTGGCTTGGATATTTCTGTGATAAAAAAGAGTATTAAAGTAGAAGCTTTAACCGAGATTGCAATATCAGCAGTTGGTGGTTTTTGAAACATGTTTGCAATGTGGTGAACAGGGGCCGTACGGGGGTGTGGTCTTCAGCTGCTGCTTTTTTTGCTGTGTGTGTGTGTGTGTGTGTGTGTGTGTGTGTGTGTGTGTGTGTGTGTGTGTGTGTGTGTGTGTGTGTGTGTGTGTGTGTGTGTGTGTGTGTGTGTGTGTCAGTGTCAGTGTATCAGCTGACGCAGGGCTCTGGTGAGAGTCTGGGATGAGTCTACTCAGCAGCGGAGGCAGAGCCTGATTGGACGTTGGTATAATGACATAATGAGATAAGGCCTGCACAGAAACCATTGTGACAGGTTTCTGAGAGCTCCAACTAACCATTTATAATTTAATTATATCTACAGCAGCTCTACTCTGTAGTCTACTCACCATTTTGTTTTGATTTCCCTCATTAGACGTGAAGAAGGAAAACATCCAATGAGGGAGGATTGGTTTGTGAAGAGGCTGCACATCTAAACTATGAATGTTTGTTTTCAGTTTGGAGCAGACTGTCATTCAACTGCAGCAGGATTTGAAAATAGAGCATTTATATTATTTACAGAGACTACAAGGTGCACAGCAGCCTCTGGCAGTGAAGATATATCGTGTGAATGGGAGGCCATCTAGTGGTGCATGCTGCATTACAGAATGCACTTGCTTATGCTTGCATTAATACCATTGTACGTTGATCCTTTGTTAACGTAAGTGTACTGTTGTACCTGAACATTAATGTTTACAATTAACAAGTGATTAAGTACATTTTCCTTGTAAAGTCATTTTTAACCTGAACTATAATTGGGTCTTTTTTTTGTCTTTACTTGCCACATTTCATAACATTTGATATATGTTTGTCTTTTAACTTTATCTGACAGGAAAACATTTTATTGATCAAAAGGAAAACATCTGTACATTTAACCCAATCCTAAAATGGTAATTTTCATCAGTTGTCCATGGCCTAATGTTATAAACGGACTCTTATACAGTATGACTGCTTTGAAAGACACTAGGCAGGAAGTCATTTTTAGGATATTTTAAGAAGTATAATGGACTGAATATGCAGGATTATGCAGTTCAGTTTATTTTGATCTGCTTGTGTTTGTTGCATGTTATTGTCTGAACGTATAAAACCTTACAAATGTTGTAAACCCTTTTGAAGGAACATATAAGATAACATTATCTGTAGAATGATCAACACGCCACGTCTCAAGCGATCAAGATGTACCTCGCTAGAAAAAAATAGAAAGAAAAGCGATAGTTCCAAATATACAAGTAAACCTGCCTCACGTACACCGTGATGTGACTCCACCATCACCATAGACATGATGTCATTATCCCTAACAGTGACTAAAGTGGTGCAGCTGAAATCTGACCAGCATTGTTCCACTTTTAGGAGATCACAGCACGTCACAGATCACACCACAAGACACATTTAGATTTTCCTGACGGATAAATGCACATTTGTTTGGTCTAACTAAAGAAGCACTCCGCCATCCAATGGGATTAGTGATTGGATCAGAGGGCTTTGGGATTGGTTGAAATACCAAAACACAACTCCAAGGCTGTACCTCCCACATGAGGTGACTAAAGGCTTACTGTGAGCCTGATTAGTTATATAGCTCCTACTGTAGGTACAAGATGTTGTTAGAAAGGAGAATCCAAACAAATGCATGGACATAGACTTACTTCTGTGAGTATCCTTCAATATTCTCATATCTTAGTTCATTTGGTATGTTATACGTGTGATTAAGTCGTTCAGTGGTGTCGGGTAGTTGTAGTTTAGTGTTCACTGAGTTTGAAATGCTTGTTTTAATCCAATAATTCTCAGCATTTACAACCCATGTTGACTTTTCATTTATTGTCTGTGTGAATTCAAACCAGAGCACTGTTATGCATTGGGCTTTTACAGATACATTAAATCTGATTTAACAGAGATAACAGAGAGTTTTCAATGAGTGGTACAGGTCTGCTGTAGGTTTATTGTTTACATCAACATCAGGTTTCTCATGGCTAATATGACTGCTTATTTATGGCACTTTACTGTTTATTGTTGGGCTAATATCCCAGTTTCTCCTTTTATTTACGCTCGCTGATATCACTAAAATTAAGATACCATGATAAATATATAGAAACAGTGTTGACAAGAAAATGCATATTATACATATCAAAGTCAGAAATTCATGTGCACACTTCATGTATCAGATTTATGGTAATCCACTTACTTTTTATATATTATTATTCGTCTATTAAGTATTTTGCGAATGTTCATATCTCGCTTAAACTAATTGACTATTTTAATTCGATTCAGCTTTGTACAAAGAAGTAGTTTCAGACATGGAAACGTAATCATTGACACTAAAGCACACAAGGTGTCGCTCTCATCGTCTGTAACAGCCAAAACAAATATGCCAGCTTGTTACCAACACTGTAAAAGCAGGCCGTTATTATTATTACATAGCCTCAACAGATGCACTGCACAAAGGACCGAAAGATCAGCCAAGTTTTTTAGCACATGGTCTGACTTCCTTAAATACACCTGCTGAATTTGTTTTACAAGATGAGAGGACCACGTATAATTCCTGACACATGGTAAACCACACTGCAGAAAATACGTAAAGCACAACATGTTTTAATGAAACACAGCTAAGAAATATGAATACAGCTAATTTTAGACTTTTGATTTTGTTGATGTGTAGGTTGAGATATGAGGCAGTCCGAACATTTGCTGACTGTATCTTGAATTCACAGGAGAGGATATTTGTGCGGGACCTGATTATACTAAGATTGACCATCTGTTCATAGGTACGGGTTCCAGAGAAGATGGTGGCCGCTGTGCTCACCTCAAGCAAACATGTTCAACCTCATGACCAACTGCTGCGCCTGGTTCTCCAAAATACAGGAGCCAATCAGGTAACAAAAACGACATTTCTTGTAAAATGACAGAGTGAAATCAAATGTATGATGAGTATCTGAAAATGTGACCTGTGATGGATAGGATGGCATGGCCTATCTTTCAAATTCAAGAGAACACAAATATAATCAGTTTGGTTGAACCTCCTTTGACCTTAAATACAAATAAAAGCATTCTGTACAAAAAAACAGAAACAATCTTCTTTCTTTTGACATTTTCGTATAGTATTTAGATTGAGGTCTCATGATAATGCCTCATGTTGAAAGCAGCACTTTAATTCAATGAAATCAAAACATCTTGTCCTGACAGTATTTGTGATATCGTATTTGTGTTCAAAGAGTCAATATATTATTGTATCTTGATGACACGTGTCATTTACAAAAGCACTTCTTTGTAGGAAAGTTACCATTTTGGTGGTTGGTGTTGACAAGGCAGGAAAAACATCCTCCATTAAAGGAATGTTAAAAGGTAATTCAAGAGTACATTGAATACTGAATAAACTAAAAGTTCCTAAATCTGAAAATGGACTGAAGATCTACCTATGTTTTACTTCCTGTCCTTTCAGTGCCCCATACTGTAGAAACAGGACCCACTCATGGCTGTGTGAAAAATGAGCTGAGAGTGGAGAACTACATGGTCACCTTGCTGGATGTGGGGGGGTCGGCCGAGTCCAGAGGAGCCTGGATGGAGCTCAGTGGAGAGGCCCATGGGATCATCTTCGTGGTGGACTCCTGTGACAGGCAGAGGATAAAGGAGGTCAAGGAGGTTCTGGCAGAGCTGCTGAAGCAACCCAGAGTGGCAGGAAAACCTGTATTAGTGTAATTATACTCAACTTCTTACATGCATTACATGTGTGATCAAACATCGTGTGCAAAGTAGAGTAAAACTAGAGCCCTCTAGTGGCGGATTGGGGGAACACTGAAATAACTAATGACTGGATAACTGTGAAGCTAAACGTGACTTAGGCCTGTGCTGAAACCTTTTCTTCTTAGGTTGGCTAACAAACAGGACAAAATGAATGCTTTACTGGGAAGTGAGCTGATTGAGAGTCTCTCATTGGAGAAATTGGTCAACCAGAGCCGTTCTCTGTGCCATATTGTAAGTATTAAAAGTGTGAGAATTAATCATTAGAAACATACATTTCTTGTAGGAATTGTAACAGACCAACCTTTTTTTCTGTCCTTCACAGGAGCCTTGTTCAGCCTTAACTGATCTGCGACGCTGGTCGGAGGGAAAGACTCTACGAGGCCTTCGCTGGTTGCTGCGGGCCATAGCTCTGGATTACCCTGAGCTGCGCAGTCGTGTAGCACAGGACAGCAAGAGACCTCTGGAACCAGGAGAGAGGCAAAAGACCTGGAAAACAGAGAAAGTTCGCAAAAAAACTAAGGGGGAACGGTAAGAGATGTTCAACATTATAAATATTGTACAGATCAATGTCAACCTAACCCATAATCTATTATTTATTCTGACTATCTTTTATGAAAAAATGTTCCTACCTCAGGATGCGTTCCAGTAAGTCAGATCTTCGCCAGGTTCATCGGCCAAAAGAAAAGGCTAAAAAGACAAAGGGTGAAGGAAAGCTTCAACCCATACGAGACATGCTGCAAAAGGTCAGTATCTTGCTTGACTTTATACGTATATGTAATATGTACAACACCTTTTAACGTTCAAAAATAATATTTACACTCCCACAACTAATCATACATTGACAGTACAGTTAAAATTAAACTCACCTTGTTTTAAATTCTTTACAGGAGAACACTCTGAAAAAAAAGCTGAGGAAAAAGAGGAAGAAGAAGCCGGTTAAGGTCAAGGAAGGTGAAAAAGATCAAGCCAAAGCAAATGAACAGGAGGAAGAAGAGGGTGACGGTAATGGAGAACATGAAAACTCTGGTCACAGAGAGAAAGCAAGCAGTGCCCTTATTCCCCCGAAGAAAACCAAACCGAAACGCAAAACAAAGGTGAAAGAAGATGCTCTGGACGTGCCAGAATCAAACAACAATGAAGAGAAGCCACTCAAAGGTAGAAATCAGTTATTAATGGCTTATACATATTTTGCTTTTCAACTGTTTAAGAATGGGAATATAACATTTCCTTATCTTATGTCTAGCTAAGGGGGAAAAAAGGAGAAAGAAGAAAGTTGTCAAAGTGAAAAGGAAGAACAAGATCAACACAGAGGAGATGTCGGGAACTTACTCTCAACCTGTGGACCTGTCTGCAACATTTGGTGAGCCTCATTTACGTCTTCCATCTCCAAATCAAATGCAATTACACGTTGGAGTCTGAAATTGAATGAAATCAAAGCTTTACATTTAAAAAGACGCATCTTTCTCCTGACAGATCTGTACCGAAAAGCAATAATGGCTCTGAAGGAACGTCAGGATCAGGGACAGAGAGCGTGAATCTTGCTTGAGTCCTGAGACCTGAATGTGAGGATGTTGTCCACGGCGTTGGACACAGGCACACTACATACTACACTAATTCAAAGATGAAGAAGTTATTTCTTTAACACTTTTGATATAAGTGACCTGATCCCTGAACCTTGAGAATGAAACTGCAAATTCAAATGTGTTGTGAAGGGTGGGTCTGCATAACTATGTCATGATAGAAACATCAATAATAATAAATAAAATAAAATGAAAAAAATGTAAGATAAAAACTGAAATAACAATGTATAAATGTTTTCAATTTAAAAATGAAATTGAGTACCTGGCCAAAATGTTAATGGAGGTTTTGTTTGTATACATTTATAAATGTTCATTGTTAGTGGAATATATTTTTTATGGGTTTTGAACACTTTCTAGAAATGATTGGGCAGTGTATGAGATATTCTTAAAAAAATAAAAATGTTTTCTCTACTGTGTGGCATATCTATTGTGCTAACATTATTAAACCATCAAAGCATCATATTAGCATGGGCCCTAAATTTGGTATGAAAAGAAAATGGCTGTATACCTCAGAAACTGTGGAGCACAATCAAGTAGGCTATTTGGTATAAAAACTTGAATACCAAATCATTTATGAGATTAAAATCATGAGGTGTTGATAATATAGCTTATATTTCACAAGGTAGACATTTACTGTATCCAAATAAGCGTTTTCCAATGCTCTAAATTAAAGCTGTCAGTAGGCATACTAACATGTTTCCTTGTCATACTGAATGGAAACTAGAGGGCAAAAGAGATATTTAACATTATTTTTGAGAACCAAGAACAAGATGAGATACACTCTTATGTCTGGATGGTAGATATGAAGTACAAGTACCTCAAAATTGTACTAGAGTAATTGCACTTAGTTATTTATCATCACTCTGTACAAGCTCCCGTCAGTTCTCTCCTGCTCCTGGATGCGACGCAGAGAAAGGGTACCAGCGCGACGCCATCTTTGTCGTTCAGCCAGAGAAGCCCATCCCCCTGGTGCATCTTCACCGGGAAACGGACTATCATTCATTTCACTGTGGGAAGCGCCTGCTGCACTAACGGTGGGCAAAGATGGCCTCACCAAGGACAGTTACTATTGTGGCCCTTTCTTTTGCTTTAGGTTTATTTTTCGTCTTCATGGGAACCATTAAGCTCACTCCGAGGCTAAGCAAAGATGCATACAGTGAAATGGTGAGTAAACAGTGATGTGTGGGGGTTCAGGCTATTGTTCTGTGCGAAACGCTCTCAGGCTCAAATAATGTGAGGAGATGCTGACCTAAATAATCAAAGATACGTCCAGTTAATCTTTTCGGTATTGGTTGGTGGGCTCTTCTAATCTGACTATGTGAACCATTGTTCAATTTTCCCAAAGATCATCCTGTATTTAAAATGTTCAGACCTTCTGAAACAGTATGGTCTCGTCAGTAACACAGTTAGCACATTGGCTATATTAGGCCTGTGTGTTCTAGAAAACCCTTCATGTATGTTGGTAATGAAACAGACAGCATCCTGGAATCGGTGTGGGTAAATAAAACAATAGCAAGTGTGTCTATCATAAGATAGTAAACGGTAAAACAGGGATCAATAATGGACGATAGACTCCACCGTATTAATTCATAATATAATGTAGCTGCACGAAGCAAACATGTATACAGGAAAATCAACACATTTCTAAAGTATACCTTGATCTGTATAGCGTAGTAGGTTGCGGCTGCTGAGCTTCTCGCTTTATATGAAGAGCAATGGCGGCTGATTTCTAGCAAATTCTGTGAGAGGCACCCACTGGTGCTGATGTTGAAATATCCTGTGTGCAAGATGCTAGCTGTCATGCATTAGGTTTCATGCTAAATCAAAACTCATACGATAAGTTTGAATTCATGTGTTTATTGGTTTTCTTTAACTGGGTAGAAATAGGTCAAAGAGTAATCGTGCAACCATAATTTTTAAATAGCCTCACTAAAAGAAGTCCCTGTGCATTTGTGTAATGTTAAGAGACATTTAACGGTATCTTTGTACATTATCCTTTCAGAAAAGGGCATACAAGAGCTATGCCAAGGCATTGCCCGGCTTGAAAAAGATTGGCATCAGCTCGGTCCTGCTTCGTAAGATCATTGGCTCTCTGGAGGTGGGCTGTGGTGTGGTGCTTACCCTCGTACCGGGCCGTCCAAAGGATGTGGCCAACTTCCTGCTGCTGCTGGTCATGCTCGCTGTCCTGTTCTTCCACCAGCTAGTAGGAGACCCCCTGAAACGGTACGCCCACGCTCTAGTCTTTGGTATTCTGCTCACCTGCCGACTTCTTATTGCCCGCCAAAGTGACGACCGGCCAGAGAGAGAGGACAGCCGAGAGGAACAGCAAATAAATGACCAGGAAAAGAACAAGGTCAAGCAGTCTTAAGATGCTCTTCTACTTCGTCAAATCCACAATAAAGGGAATTTGGTGCGTCCCTCTTGTTTGATGGAGAGTCATTCAAATGTTGAAGGAATCAGTCACTTCCACTAATAAATCCCCTCGCATCATCTCCTTTCCCATCCAGCTGGCGGACTGATAACTCTCACCTACTCCTCTGCACTCTCACTGTGAAACTGAGAACTCCTGATCCGTTTATCCTCAACATGACCGTGGACAATCATACCTGTGGAAACTCTCATGAGATCAGCTCATTGTCTAAATAGTGAATCAATTTCCTCTATTTATTTCAGTCCTACACTGTGTTAAATGTATTTTGTTTTTAAATGATTTCATTTATGTTATGTCAAAATGATTTGAGAATGCTGTTTTTCCATGTAAGAATCTTTGTAGCTTCTTTTTTTTACTGTACGTACGTAGGAGAGACTAATCATTTATGAATTTCAATAATGTCTAAAGCATGTTTCATTTGGTCAAGAGTATAAACATTAACCAATATGAGCATTTTTGAAACAATTTTGTACTGATTATACATCATCTAGTATGACATATCCACATCATATTTTGGTGTAGTGTTACCAGAACACAATTCTGGAAAGAAAAAATGAATACAGCCTTGTTCATTTCATCTCAGTACATTTTTGTAGAAGTGCACATGTCACCCTTTCTCCTAAAGTGAAAATTGCAGAATATTATTTTTCTCCTTTCAGTTCAGTTACCACAGTGAAGTTGTTTAGCTGGAAAGTATAGCATTTGCTGCCTTGGGTGTCTTCTGCTAGCGTGCACAGCAAAACATAACTCAAAAAAGTATTGTTGCCTGTTAAAAATTTAATTTTACCTTTTTTGTAATTCACAGTTCAAGTCTTAAGCATATTATCCTATTCTTTAAAAGACAACTTCTGATTAGTTTGGCTATACTTTTTCTGTTTCAAAAATGTAAACTCAAAAATTCATATTACAGATCTGCTTTAGGAATGAAATCTCATTGGAAAATCCTGTCAGTTAATTTCGAGATTCACAATATTTCTGTAAATGATATACTTAAAATAAAGAATTGGAGGTGAGATTGACTAAATAGTGTTTGTTTTATAAACTCCCTTGAATTTGTTTTAGTCAAGTTATTTACTTATGCAACAAATTATGATTTGTTTGTAGTTATGTTATATACCGGTACTGTACCTTAAGTCTGTCCCTGTCAAGATAAAGCCATCAAATCAGCACATAAGCTACATCCGTTTTACGGGCCAGATATGCAGTGCTTGTCTCTCTGCCCTGTATCATACTTATTATACTGTATGCAGTACAGGTTTGTCACTTTTATGTTCTTACCTTAACTTGTATAAACTAAAGTAGCTAAGAAAAAGGAAAATAATTAGATGAAAATGTGATACATTCGGTGCCATTTTCAACACAGGAAAACTCTTCTTTAATTCTAATCCTACATGGGCATAAAAGGACCATGCACTTGGTAGACCGACCGGATGAGGGGACAAAGAGCATAACTCAGACACAGGCGTCCTTCTGTTATGCCTCTTGCCTGGAAAGTCACCCTGGTATTTGCATAACAGCTTTAGCAACATAAAAACATAAAACTTAATGAAGCACTGAGCACATTTTATAAGAGATTGTACCCTGAGTGTCTTTCATACAAAATTCTTTTTTTTTAATGAATTGGACCTGGTTTTCAAGTAAGATTAGTTTGGATCAGGGTTCTCAAATGTTAATATTTGTTGACTCTTTTGGTTTGTTTTCTGAAATAGTAAATAGAACTATTTTGTGTTTTGGACAGTTAAACAAGAATTTTGATTATTTTAGCCTGTTCTCTGGGAACTTTATTCTGATATTTCATAGCCCAAGGAAATGATGTTATGATCTTGAAATACTTACATTTGATAATACATTATATATATTAATTTTGATAATACATTATATACATTAATTTTCGTTGTGATGCTCGCACAGCAAAGAAAAATTAACATTTACAAAAACAATTATTTTGGAGAGTGTTACATTCATATTCACCTTACCTATGAAAAGTGCTGATGGTGAGAGGGGGTCAAAGATGATCCCGTGAGTTTTTTACATGGGACAGTGTTTCTACACAGCAGTGCTGCTGCTAAAAATGTTAAATGCCATATTTCAGTTTATGACAACACATTAAATAGCCTACGCCAAGTCACAAACTTCTTCGATAAAAGCGGTATGTGATCAGGCTATCAAACATTTCTGTGAAGCGGTGCGTAGCGTAATTATCTTTAATGTTGAATACTGACCAGTTTTCGACGGGATTTATTAGCCTCCTCTCATGAGACGTGGGGCCCTTCTCACTTCTCTTATTTTTAATTTCCTCGCTCCTCGGTCTCGGTCTCACCGGAAGTTGATTTGTCTGCGCCATCTTGAGTAGCGTCCTTATTTTTGTCGGAGGAGCGAGGAGTGATAATGGAGGAGCTATAATCGAGGAACCATCAGACCATCCTCCGATGAAATCCTCAGACACTCGCCCCGCCCGCTTACTGTGTATCTCTCACTGATTGGACGATGCAGTGCATGCACTGATCTGATGCTTCTTGACATGAGAGCAGTTTCCCAGCGGAGTGAAGAAAATACATGAACCTCACGGGAGTCACTACTCCTCAGTTTATACCGTGTTTTTTTTCAATTAATGTATCATTTAGTTACACATATGTGATATATCTGAACAACAAAGTGGTCAAAAATCATTTTATTCATTTTTTGGAAACATTTTCATGATCGCTTTTTTCGTTTTACATTTTCATTTATTGTCATTTCCATTCAGTCAGTCATTAAGTGCTATTTAAAATGTTAATTTGCTACATATCCACACAAACAAACAAAGTGTTCAATCCAATGAATGTTAATCTAACTGGGTTTTGATAGATAATATATATATCTATTTTTCTTCTCTGAATTATTTTATTTATTTTGTGCACTCTAATCAATATTAATCAAACTATTGTTCTTTTATACATTTTAAGAATGTTGTTTATCTTTTTTGAGAATTAGTTCTTATTTTATTTTATTTATTTGGGTCTACAACAGATGATACAAATGTTT